TGCCCCCTTCGGAACTTCTGAATAAGTTTAACCACAGGAGGTCCCAAGACAGCAAGGAGAACAGCTTAGAATATGAAAACTATGCTATCATTAATTGCAGAAATAAATCAAGTTAGAGATGGCCTAGCTCCCACAGCCCAGGTTCTAGAATATACTCCTGTCTTTGTTCTCCCTCGGGGGAGAAAAAAAATCATGCAAAATAAAGACACAACTTATCAATATATCAAATAAACCCACACTTGGATACGTCTTATGCATTGGGGTTTCATGTTCAAGTCACAGACTTTAGGAGAGAAACGAAATCTGTCAAGATCCTTGGGTGGTAGTTATGGCTCAACCACACTCGGGATGCAGTCTCTCTTGGACTGTTTGTTTATAAAACGGAAGTGGGGCTGCAGAGAGGGTTCAGTGGGTCAGAGCATTTGCTCTTCTTGCACAGGACCTGGATTCAGTTCCCAGCATCCACATGGTGACTCACAATCATATGTAGCTCCAGTTCCAAGGGATCCAATGCTCTCTTCTGGCCTCCATGGGCACCAGGCATACATGCATGTATATACATACATGTAGGCAAACTCTCATACACACAAAATAAAAATAAATAAATCTTTAAAATGGAAGCAGCCATCTACATCTTAGTTTCTTGTTTTTATGAGACAAAAGGAAGAATTGCTGAGCATAGTGGAACATACCTATAATCCCAATACTTAGGAGGTCAAGGCTAAGGCAGAAACATCATGATTTTAAAATCAGCCTGTGCCATACAACAAGACTGTGTGTGTGTGTGTGTGTCTGTATATATTATCCTGATAAAATTAAAAGAATCAAAAATACAAAGCTCCAAGAACATGGAGAGTTCACCCAGTGCACAGTTCCTGTCCTGCATTCTATCCCCCACTCCCTTTTACTTAACTTCATTGATGCATCCCATTTTCTCTTCCATGACACGTGGCTTTACAACAACAACCAATAATAATATCAACTACAGGTTAATCCAACTATCAGTGATCAAAAAACATCACATCATGCCTTCTACTTCCAGCACAGTGCCAACTGCCTTGCCTTGCATCCCTATGAGGCTGACTCCACCTATAGTGAGGCTTTGAGTGGAAAAAGGGTACCCATTTCTTCTGTGGCCTGTACTTTCTTAGAAACCCCAGTGTGGCGGGCATTGGTGGTGCATGCCTTTAATCCCAGCACTCAGGAGACAGAGGCAGGTGGATCTCTGTGAGTTCGAGGCCAGCCTGGTCTCCAGAGCGAGTGCCAGGATAGGCTCCAAAGCTACACAGAGAAACCCTGTCTGGAAAAACAAAAACAAAACAAACAAAACAAAACAAAACAAAAAACAGTGTGATAACAACAAACATGGAAATCAACACAAGTGTCCACAAGACAGGTCACTGCCATGAACAAACATCCCTTACTTACATCCTTACATGGCTTCACCCCCTGGAACTGGCTGGGGTGGCATTAACACTGAGATATAATCATGCCTGCGTCTGTGGTTCTTCTGTGCCAGCCCCTTGTACTGTATATGGAGTTTACACCCATATTGGAAACCAAGGAGTGCAAACTCTGGGTGACCCTCAGGGTCTCTGGCTCAAAGCTGACATTAAATTAGCCAAGACCAAGTCCAAACAGCTGGAGTGGAACAGAGGGCAGAGGTAGCAACAGAGGCTAAAATGCTTCAGTGGCTGCTTCAGGGGCTGGCCAAAGAGCCCTGGCAGGCAATCGGAATTCACCAGAACCGGCTCCCCCTTCACAAAACAATGAATCCACTGTTGACTGCCCAGAGACTTGATTAACATTTGCAAAAGAATAAAGTGGAAAATTCCACCTGTGTGGGTGGGAGCTAAACTCAGGGTATGTCAACAACCCTCACAGTCTTGTTCTCTCCAGGATGGATACAGCAAAGTTAACAAAGGTTATGGGTCCAAGGGAATTTCCCCACTTGGGAACATGGAGATAATTAGAATTTTTAAAAACTGTCTTATATCCCTGCTCTACATCTATGCATCAAATTTAAACTCTTCAACTTGCTTTCCTGACTCTGGTTTCTTCTTGAGTTCTTTGCTGTCCTTGCTAGAGTGACAAAGTTAGTGTCAGTTCCATATCATAGGTACTTGGGGAAACTGAGGTAGCAAGAGACCAATAGCTTTGGTCATGGCCAAGAGCTAGCAAGTGACTCTTGGAGCCTCAGTTGTAGTGGCAACACAGAGACTGTTAGAAGTCTGGGTTATAGACAAAGAAGTCTTCCAGGCTCGGGACCAAACTGTGGCCTTCCCCTACATACTGGAAGAAGTCCAAAGCAATCTTCCTTGGTGTGCAGAGTTAGGTATGGCCATGAAGAAATCAAGTGATAATTTATTCTGGAATTTAATGGGCACACTCTGAGCACTTGGGCATGAAGATGCCTTATAGACTTGCAAACTGAACACATGACTAAAGGCAGCATGTGGTAAGTCTCTAAGGATTGCTTCCTTTGGATTCTAGTCACCTCTTCACTACCATGGCCCATTCACTTGACTGTACAGGAAAGGAAACCGAAACTCTGAGGATAGTCGCTTGCCATACATTTCAGGAGAAGCAGCTAAGCCCTCTCCACTTCCAGATGCCTCTGGCTATCAGGGGTAGGCATCTAAGCAAGTGGATCCTTCCCAGCAGATTATCTTAGAGACTGCATAGTCAATCAACAAGGATCATTGGAGAGAGGGGAGGGCCTGGGGCGGGAGAGAAATTCCTGTTGACAGGTACATCCTCTTGGCCCAGGCTTGTTCCCATCTGTGATTGCAAGGCTCAGTTTGTATTTCCATTCACTGGCCACTCTGATGCCCTGTCCACAGGCCACAGGTACACACCCCAGTCCCAGAGTCAGGGCAGTGTCATCCCAATGTGTCATCACTGGCCTTTGGTGGGGAAACTGCTCAGGCTGTGTCAGGAGGCTGGCTGGCCCTTGCCTAGGCATTCTCCCATATTCACAACCCCTTTCCCACCGTCACCTCACCCACTCTTCCTCTCTCCTAGAGAAGGAACCCAGCTAGCCGCCTGACCCCTTTCTCAAAACCAAACTATCCCATACACATTATTCCAAGCCATTTCTTCATGTTTGCCCCACCTTCTCAGGCCAAGGTCAGGTAAGGCCACGCTGGGGTTTCTGTGTTCACTTGACACCAAGAGTTCTTGTGCTAGATTAAATGCCTCCTACCCACCTTTACCCCTCAAGGGCAGAGAAATGGCTGACTCAAAGATCTTCCCCTGGGCCTGAACCCCTCTATCCCTGCTGTCCCAAAGCCCTTGCCCTTTGCCCTGAGCTTACTACAGCAGGGTGTTGTGCCAGGCCAGTGCCAAGTCTGGCCAGGTGTTGGCACTCAGCTACTCACTGAATGAACACACATTGACCATCAGTTGTAACTCGCTCATCTGAGTGGGAGTGTTCCCCCTACTTGCTCTGTACACACACAGGTTGTTTTCAAAACTGGAGACTGACTGCCTTCTAAGCATGTCCCGTTCCTCATCCCCATGAAGCAAAGTTCTCATACTGGAACTGGAAAACATGGCCACCTCCACTTTGCTTTTCCACCAGGGAAGGCACTTTGGCCTTGAATGTTCCTGTCACTGCAACTCCTCTTCAGGAGTGTGCACCAACTCTTCACCCTTTGCACCCTGGTAGCTGGCAAGTGTTTACCGATCAGCAAGGCCACCATGAAAGCTAGAAAATGTTCCCAGGGACCACTGGGCCCAAACAACTCACAAAGGCTAAGGAAGGGGGGGTGTCCAGTTCCAGGTGGGGGTAAGCTACACCTCCCTCTGTGAACCTCCTTGGTCAGGAATCTGAACAATTCTCTTATAGAAAACTATTCCCTGCAGTCCCACAGAGGCTGGAAACTGGGCCTATTTCATATGGATCAAAAACAGAACCTTCACCCAAGTCTCACAGGTAAACTAGGTCCATATCCCAGTACGGCTTCAACAAACACAGCTGCTTAACAAAAGCAGGACTTCTCCAATTCCTCTATCTACAAGTTTGGTAATCCCAACATTTAATGACCTATGAAGGGCTAAAGCAGATAAATCTCAGGCTCTGTAGCTCTTCTCTAATTCGAGTCCCCTCTCAAGCCATTTCCTCTCAGAGGGATGGCTCTGGACCACCTTCCCACAATGAAGGTCTGAGAACTGGAGAGCCCGACAGATTTCATTCAAGCAGCAGCCCCACCAAATGTCAGAACTTCAGCTCTGAACACCCACCCAGTACTGAGACACCAGCTTCGGGACTCCAGATGTAACCGCCAGACCTCTTTTCTATAGAAACACACTTAACCAGAAAGCCTGCGTGGCTGGGGTGGAGATTCCTATCAATATTACCTTGTAACTGTAAGTTCCTGTCTCTGGCTCCCTCAAAGAAGCCAAGGAGGTTTCGGTGGCTCGAGTCCCTCCCCCCTTTTCTTTCTGGGACTCCTGGGTAAAGGAGGCTCCAGGTCCTCCCGACCCATCCAGCCTAGGGCCCGAAGCTCGTTACTCACCGGGGGCAGCTTCGTACCTGGGCTGGGATGGTGGGCCGACAAAAGGCAGGAGCCGGGCACACAGTGAAGGCGGTGGCCGCCGGTCCTCGTCCGAAGCGCTTTAACTGGCGCCCCAGAGCGTCGCGTGATGTCCTCGGGAAGGGTCGGGGCTGCTTGATAGGGCCCCGGGCGCGGGTGCGGTCGCCCCACCTAGCTTGTAGTACACACCTGTGCGCGGGGCTCGACTCGCACAGCGGCTGCTGGAGCTTCTTCCGTCCTCCCTGGCCCGAGTCATTCGCACCCCGCCCACCCCCGCGAGCCCAGCGGGCGACAGGGATAACACTTTACGATCCTGGGACAAGGCCAGCGCCCGCCCCGACTAGGGCAGGGCGGCGTTGTGGGAGGCGGAGCCCGGAGAGTGCTGCCGCGGGCGGGCGTCTGGATAAGAGGACCCTGGACTGCCAGCCCAGGCTCCGCATGGTGGGGGGCGGTGGCTGGGTCATGTTGTTGGTGTTGCTGAGCCTGGCTGCAATGTGCTGGAGCGCCCTGCCCCGAGAGCCGGTAAGTATTCCCCTCCTCTGTGATCTCGTTTTTTCTTAGTCTCCCATTCTTTTAGCTTGAGCGGTGACCTGCAAGCCCAAGTTTCTAGGAAATTGTCCATGAACCATCCTCTGGAAGGGACCAGATTTGCACCCCTGAGACAACCATAGTGGGCCTAGCACTTTGATCATCCCTCTATTTCCAGCCGGGAAGGCATCTACTCTTACATTGCTTGCTGGAGACAGATTTCGATTTGCCGCAGATGCCACCCTGGGCATTTGGGCTCATTTAGCCTTAGTAGTCTCCTTAATAAAATGGTGGTACTCAACTCATACAGGTGGCATGCCTCACCGCCTGGATCATGATAACTACACAGCATCACTCACACCTGTGGTGCCTACCTATTGTGTCACCAGAACACACTGCACCTGTCTTCTTGCTTGCTTTTCCTTTTGGTCTTGGACCACGTCGATTTTTGAAAGACAGCTTTCCTTCCTTTTCCAGTCCCCTAGAATGAAGGAATCTTTCAGTCATTCTTCAGGAGGAAAAAAAGCTCATCCTCAGAAAGGCATTTAGATGCAATATGTGCTGGGTTCACACAGCACTTGCATCCTTGATGACTGGGAAAGACAAAACTAGTATATGGTGTCCCAAGCCATCAGCTGCTCTCCTTGATCTCTATGCAAAAGAACGACTGTCCCGGGAGCATTTGCTGTGAGCTTTGTGAAGGTTGCACTGTTGCTTGACTTTTTCACTATACCTTGTCTCACTACCGTTCAACCAGATCCTAGTTCCTAGTGGGCGGCTCATTTGTTTAGAAAGAATGTCACAAAGAGAAGGACCATGGATGACTTCACCCAAACCAAATTTGCCCTACAAAAACCTTTGTTTTCTGCCTTCACAAGGTTTTTGGAAATGAGGACACTGGGATCCGAGAGTCCTTTGGGTTTGTCACATTGCATTTTGCCACTGAAGATTGCTAACAACTAAAACAAATGTTTTAGGCTCAATATACTATTCCTGAACCATACTATTCATTATTTTTCTTAGGTAAATTTCAAAAGGGTTTATTTGGTACTGGTCTTTCTTAGACATTGATAAGCTTTACCTATTTGAAAGCTGTTTTAGAAAGATGTGATGAAATTACAATGCCCCCCCTCCCAGGTTTTGTAAGTAGCTCAGCTGAGTCCTAAATCAAGAAAGAAGTATGAGATGAGCCTGGGGGAGGTACAGCAGGCTGCATCCATTGCTACCTGCTTTCTTCTCCTATTTGCACAGCCAAAAGTTAACCTGGAGAAATCAATACATATTATACTGTCCTGAAAATAAGCAGTTAAATATTATATAGTTAAGGTGGCTCACAATGACCATCAGTAATCTGAGGCAGAGAAGGTGTGTGTGTTGTGGGTACATATACGCATGCACACATGCCTGTGAACATATCATCAGAAATCAGAGGTAATGAGTTCTGGAGCTGGAGTTATAGGCAGTTATAGGTGTCTGGTGTGGGAGCTGGGACCTAAACGCAGGTCCTCTGCAACAATGGTATGCTGTGTTAGCTGTTGAGGTCCTCTGCAAGAATGGTGTGCAGCCTGGCATTGGTGGTGCACGCCTTTAATCCCAGCACTCAGGAGGCAGAGGCAGGTGGATCTCTGTGAGTTCGACGTCAGCCTGGTCTACAAGAGCGAGTTCCAGGACAGCCTTCAAAGCCCACAAGAATGGTGTGCTGTGTTAACTGTTGAGGCACCTCTCCAGCTCCCAGCTCACCTTTTTGTCACTTGGGTATACATCTAAGGAAAATGATGGTGTTTTGCCTAATTTGGTAAAATAAGCATTGTGGTTTGCTGGCTTCAACATGACATCTGGTTTCTCTCTCTCCTGCAGACTATTCAGTGTGGCTCTGAGACTGGTAGGTTCATTAGAGAATGAGTATTTGGAAGAACAGTTGGACATTGAGAAGGTCTGAATCAGGCAGCGGGCCACAGTAGACCAGGCACATGGTGATGCATTGCCTTGTTAGTTAATGGGACTGAGGGTGTCAAGGCGGAATTTGGGAAGTAAGGATATGTTTGAGATGGGCTGGTGAATTAGCACACAGGTAAAGTGGAACTCACCATGCTAAGTGGGAAGCAGGACCTGCCTCTCCACAGGGGGACATTGATTGTGGTGGGAGGGGCCACATCATTTATTATTGGGACTAGGAGGTAAATGTTTTACACATAGGTACCAGAATGGTAGCCTTTGAAGGAAGAGTGGGTTTGCCCAAGAAATGTAAATAGGAAGAGTGAGTAAGAGGGGGTGGCAGCAAAGGTGAGGCGCTGAGAAAGTGGTCATGGTGTGGGCTAGCTGGCTGGAGTCCAGGGCTGAGGCATGGAGAAAGCAGGACTGACATTAGTGAACATGTCAAATACACTACACACACACACACACACACACACACACACACACACACACACACACACACACACGAACACACATGAACTCACATACCTGGAACACCCCAAGTGTTGTGTAGTTTGGGACCTACAAGGCTGAGAGCGTGTATTCGGGTAGTATAAACTAGCCAGCATCCAGAAGAAGTTTGGCTTTCCTTAGCAGAAGTGACTTGTGATGGAATAGGACAGATCACTTGGAGGAAATAACTTCTGACTGGGCCGGAAACAGGAGGGTCATAGGAAGTGTTCTTGCCTTTTTCCAGGGCCATCTCCAGAGTGGATGGTCCAACACACTCTCACCCCAGGGGACTTGAGGGACCTCCAAGTGGAACTTGTTAAAAAAAGTGTTACACCAGAGGATTTTTCAATTTTGATGAACATAAGCTGGATACTCCGGGCAGACGGTAAGTTTGCATCAGTCAAAGTACCTACTAAACCAGAAATGTGGAGGGTATAGGACTCATTAATTCCACTCCTAGGCAGATACCACAGATGTGCATCCAATGAAAGCCACATCCTAGCATGTGTATAGTAGCACTGTTCAGAACAGCATCCAGATGAGCAAGAGCCTAAAAGAACCACAAAGTGGAAACTTTGGAACTCAACAATGAGATTTCTCTGTGTGTGGGTAGCAATATGGCTGTCACAAACACAAGCAGTGGGACTCCAAGCAGCTATACAATTGTATCTGCAATCATGCCTACAGTAGCGCACTGAAGAACAAAACTAAACAAGAGGGTCAAAGCCCCGATGGGGGTTTGGAGGGCTATTTTGGCTTGGAAGTGATTGGAAGGACGCACAGGCAGCACTTGGGGGTGTCGGTTCCTGGCCTCTGCTGGTTGTAAAAATGTGCAAAGTCACTAATGAGTAGTGCCATTCTGCAGTCATACTTCATGGAAGAGACAATTCCCCTAGTTTAGGAAAAGCTCTGGCTTAGGCTGTTTCCACTTCCCAAATGACATCATGAAAGTCCTGGTATTTCCTCCAGATTATTCAGAAAGAAACATGTAAATTCCTGAGACAAGCTAATCCCGGGACCCTGAAGCTCATGCTTGTGGTTTCTGCTTCCCAATGTTAAACTTAGTTTAGTCAAGGGTCCATTTGCCCAGAACCTGGGAGACTGAAACAGGGAGATCGCTGCAAGTTTGAGACCAGCCTGGGGTATATACTGGATTCCAGGAGAGTGGGCTACAATGTGAGACCTTGTTTCAAAAAACTCAAAGTGGTGCTGAGAAGAGCCAGGGGAAGGATCCATTTATCTGGGAAAATGAGTCAGTGACAGGTTTCATCAGAACATTTTTCAGAGTAGTAGGAGAGGCAGCCACAAGCATTGCCAAAGGATGCCCCAAAGGGAGCTGTGCTCTATGTGAGTGGGGTGGGCTGGAAAGACCAGGACCCCAAGAGACTCCTGTGAGATGCTACAGTAGGCTTTGCTCAATGTCATTATGCACTTTAAAGTGAACTTGGAAAGGTAGGGATAGAAAAACAGACTCACAAGAAAGAAGGTTCTGCAGGGACATGGGGCAGTTAAAACAGGCATGGTCTGGTGCTGATGCTTGGGCAGTCTTTGTAGAAAAAAGTAATCAAAGCTAAAGCCTGAAGTCTCTTCTAAACCAGAAATGTGTGGTATATAGGACCCATTAATTCCATTCCTAGGCACACCTAACAGAAGTACCCATAGGCATGCACTGGAAGACAGTCCTAGAATATGTACAGACCCAGACCATCAAGCAATCTGTCACCTTCAAGAGACCTAGAATGGGACATATGGCATCACTAACTATGGGCACTTTGTGTAACACAGGCCAACCTAGAAGGAGCAGGGCTCTTGGGCTTTGGAATTTAGGTTTGCATCTACTGGTGATGAGCTGCAAAAGTTTAGGCAGAGTACCCAAGACTCCCAAAGCCCCATTTACCCCATCTCCACACTGGATACCATGGTACACACCTGCTAAGATGAAGCATTTAAATCAGAGTATTATGTGAGCCAGGTAAGCACCAATGGAACAACTTCCCACCTAATTGTCTCTGCAGCCAGCATCCGCCTGTTGAAGGCTACTAAGATCTGTGTGACTGGCAAAAGCAACATGGACTCGTACGACTGTGTGAGGTGCAACTACACAGAGGCCTTCCAAAGTCAGACCAGACCTTCTGGAGGGAAAGTAAGCATTTTAGGTCCATGGCTGTTGTTGACACCTGGGCCCTTTGCTTGGGAACCATGAATAACGGGCCTCAGAAATGCCTGATGATGCAGAGCAAGATGCTTGCCTGGGTGTAAATGCCACTTGTCTATCCAGTGCCTGAGGACATTAGCATCTTTTTGAGACTCCATGTCTAACAAAGTGAAGAGAGCTAGACTTAAATTATATCCTAGCTCTAAAATGCCGCTCCTCTCCGATTCTGAGTTATAGATCAGCAAATTGCCTGGGCCCATTCCCTATTCAGACATTGGCCAGAGACCTGTTTCAGCTGGAGCATAGAGATTAAATGGTAAATGAAAAGGGGGGCTGTCAAGTGAGACAACCTAAATTCAGTCCATAGGACTGACATGGTAGAGAGAACAAATCCTTCAAGTTGTCCTGACTTACACACACACACACACACACAGAGTGGCATGACCCCATCCACTACATACACACACTCAAACACACACACTGTGGCATGATCTCCCACTAACACACACACACACACACACACACACACACACACACACACACACAGTGTGAAGAATTTGTAAATGAAAACAGCCCAGCACAGAGGCTCTGATCTTGCAGCATAATTTGCCTTGCTTTTCTTTGCAGTGGACCTTCTCCTATGTAGGTTTTCCAGTGCAGCTGAGCACACTCTATTTCATTGGGGCCCATAACATCCCCAATGCTAATATGAATGAGGACAGCCCTTCTTTGTCTGTGAACTTCACCTCTCCAGGTAAACTTTCTCACCTCTTTGCTTATCCCGTCTTACTGTCTTACCTGTGTTATGGCATGTAGTTTGGTGCAAAGTGTCTTGGGAATCCTTTGAAGCTGTCCATTTCCTCATCTGCAGACATTACTAATCACTCGGGTGGAGAGGGTTAAGTAGCTAAGAGTGGAGAAAGCATGCTCCCGGGAGCCAGGCAGGATGCAGACTGTGTCATCTCTCCAAGCACTTGCTCTGGGCCATATGTACGTACACACAACAGTGGTGATGCCCCGCCTCTGCTCCTTTGTGGTTGGTATCTCGAGCCATCCAGGGCAGCTTTGGTGTCACATCATTTACTACGTGGTACTTCCAGCTTTCCTGACAACACCAAAGCTCACTGGGATTTTCTAAAGTGAGTTTTATTTGGGGATGGCTTTAGAAAAGCTGCAAAAGTAGGCAAAGTTTCCACGTCGCTCTCAGCTCCTCTGGTCATCAGCACCTGGTTTCCAGTGCATACTTACATAAACTAGGAAGTTAACACTGGCATATTTCTATCAACTGAACACCAGGCTTTGGGGATTTCAGCTGCTTATCCATTACATTTTCTTCCTGTTCCAAGGCACTTAGCCCCTTATTCTACCTCAGCCTCCTCTGGTCATTATATTTTACGACCCTGTCAAACATCAGATAGATTGTCTCCAATTTGAGTTTTTGTCTGATGTTTGCTTCATATGGAGGCCAGGCATGTGCAATTTGGGTATGAATCCCACAGGAAGCATTGAGACCCCCTTCCTTTGTCCTGTCTGGAGTGTGTGACGTTGTTGGTGAGGATCATGCCTACTAGGCAGCTGGGTACCCACCATCTAGACCTTCATGTCTACATGTATTATCAACTCCCACTTTTTGGTTTCCAAGTCAATTCTGGCAAACGTTTTGATAAAGACTGTACTTAAATATTAAGACTACAGCTTCCATGGGTGAATGATTCTGTGTAACTGTAAAATAATAGTGCCCTGTTTAGACTCTCTCTTTAGATAAGAGAAACAGCAGGAGAGACGGAGCAGGGAGGAGTGTGTGTGTGTACTGGACAAGGGGCTGTAATAGAGATACCTTTTACTCAATGTAACAATGTTCATTCAAATTACCAGGCTGCCTGAACCATGTAATGAAATATAAAAAGCAGTGCGTTGAGACAGGTAGGTGGATGTAGCATTTTGTTTTTGTCATTTGGAGATACTCCTACCTAGGACCCATGAAGCTCCATTCAGCCTCACACAGATAAGAAACTAAGATGTAGAGATGGAAGTTCTCTGCCCAAGCCACTCAGTGAAGGAGCTGCTTTGGTCTAAGAAGCTATCCAGACTTGAATAGACTTCTTAGGTTTACATAGTACAGCAATAGCTACAGGAAGCTACCCCTGCCCCTTGGCTAAACCAACACTTTATCCCAAATCCCTCTTAACAGCAGTATCCTTGGAAAGTTGTTTTGTGGTTGGAGGGGAGTCCCACTAGCTTTTACTCTTGCTGGTCAGTGGAGACTCTGGGTACCTTCTGTTTGGATTAACAAACAGGGCCAGTGCTTGTCCAGCTAAGGCCCTGGAGGACTTCTTGAAAGACTGCCTTCTCTATGTAGACTCTTAGAATTGTGAAGGAGCTGCTTTAGGATAGTCAGTCCCTCATCCCAGGACAGTATAGTCTTGAGATGCTAATGAGGTTAGTGATATGGGGGGGGGGTGTCTTTCTTCCCACCAAGAGAGCACTCTAAAAGAATTTTGCAGCTCTAGAGGTGTGAGGTCTAGGACCTAAAATGCATCTTCCAATTCACTCCTAGAACCAGCTCCCAGCCAGGGGCTGAACCAGTGGTCCCATCAGCCAGGAAGCTAACCTGTGCTAGCATTCTATATACATTCTATATACGTGCTAACATTATATGTTCATGTTCCTGGAAATTTGCCTTATCTTATTTCCAAGTCACATGAGTGAGACAACTGACTTTCTGATAGTTGATCTGCTAGGGATTCCTGTAAGCTGTATCATATGACATTTCCTTCCTTCCTTTGTATCCAGTAAAGCTGGCGGCCTATCCTTGTGCTTCTAAGTTCTGAACCTCAGTTCACTTACTCCGTATTTTGGGGCACACCTCCTAAACTGAGGTTCCTCCTTCACCCAACAAAGGAGAAAATAGCAGTCCTAGCTCTCTTACCTCAAAATGTAGGGTGAGCATTGAACCAAGTTGTAGACTGTGATCTGTACCTGTCAGTCCCAGCTCAAGGAAGCTATTTTTTAGCAAGATAAATGGCATTTGTGGGAGGGTGTGTGTGTGTCCCTAAACTTTGACATCAGATAATTTGCAGTTCTGGGAACAATATTGGAAGATACACTAGTCTCTGTCTCTTAGGTATGCCCCCCTCCCGGGACTCAGATAAGGGAGGAGTTATCCGGTCACCCATGTGGCTTTCTCTCAACTTGTAGGAAGCCTGTGGGACCCAAACATCACTGCTTGTAAGAAGAATGAGGAGACGGTTGAAGTGAAGTTTACAACCAATCCCCTTGTAAATAAATACTCGGTTCTCATTCTACAGGACATGCCATTGGGTTATGCTCAAGTGCTAGAGGTACTTTTTCCTTCATTCCCTTATTACCACCCCATCCCCAACCTCTAGCTTCAGTATCTTTAAGTACAGATACTTTAGAATCATTTGATCAGGTTTTCTTTCAAAAGAGCCCAGAGCTATCTGTTGTCCAAGCAGGCTAGGCTACTTTGATTAATGGAGCAGAAACAAGCCCCTGTAGGCATCCTGGAGATGACAAGTCTAAAACCAACTGAAGACAAGTCATTGGCTTCTCAAGTGAGTCCTGATCCACATAGTCTGATGCATCAGAATTCAGTTAGGAGCAGTGGTTCATCACTGACAGTCTATCTACCCACTCGTGACTTCTAGCTCTTGACTATGTTTCACTTATCTGCACCAGAATAAGCTGACACGGACGTCTGTAGCCATTCAGGTGAACGGGGAAAGTGAAGGTGCCATGGTCCACGTAAGTTAAATAGTAGTCTGGGAAGGGAGGGACACTGGAGAACAGCCTGCTCCACCACAGATACTTTATGTGCATGTGTTCGTGGGATGCTAGGGACTGAACCTAGGACGTCTTGAATTCTAGAAAAGTGTTCACCAACTGATACACACTAGTCCTCCGAATGCATTTTGAAGATGGCAGGTCTCGTCCCCATCAAGTTGTGTTACCAGGGTCTCCTTAGTGGTCTACAGTGGTGAAATCACAAAACTGACTCTACAGTTGTGCCTTTTGCTTGGATTAGCGGCTGTCGACTTCCCACAGAGCTTTTACTTCTACTTTCTATCATGGATCTTCAAACTGAGATAGGACAGTGGTTTTACTTCCCCAAAGCATAGTTTTCACTGAAAAGTGAAACTGCAAAGGTTGGAAGCAGGCAGGCTGGAGTCCAGTTAATGTCTGAACTTAGGAGAGCAACTGTTTGTCTTCTGGGGGCCTCAGTTGGCCCAGGTGGAAACATGAAGTTGAAACAGTAGGTACTCTCAGTTTCCTGTAGTTTACAGCATGGGTACATGGAAGGTCACAGTGTGACACAACCACACCCAAGAGCCATTCTCCACTCCCTGGAACATGAAGTGCTCAGGATGGCCACGAGAGCAGACCCTGACACCACTGCAATTATACCTTTCAGGAAGTCATGGACTTCCCTAGTGCTGGGGAACTTACTACAGTTGTCCCAGGGAAAGATTTGTATGTTTATTAGGATGTAGCCGCCCTTTTAGATAAGAAAAATACCACGTTAGTAACATGCACAAAGTTCAAGGACATTGCAGGTATTTTGGTCTGGAGTCACCAGACTGGATTTGTGGGCTACAGAAATGTAAACGAGGGGAAAATTGTTGATGACCACGCCAAGAAATGAAAACATAAAAGGAAGGAAGGAAGGAAGGAAGGAAGGAAGGAAGGAAGGAAGGAAGGAAGGCAGGCAGTCAGAAAGAAAGAAAGAAAGAAAGAAAGAAAAAAAGAAAGAAAGAAAGTGTTGAAGTGGGGACACTGAAGTGTTCCTCTCCTTTTCCTCAGCTGACTCCATTTTTCCCAGCCTGTGGCTCTGACTGCATCCGACGTGAAGGAAAAGTTGTGCTTTGTCCAGAGAGAAGTGCTACAGATAACAGTAAGTCCCAGTCATTACCACAGAGGTGCTCAGGACACACAGGGCCCCTCAGAGATGTAACAGGTTATACTGTGTGTGGGGGGAGTGTAAAGAGGTCCCTGACAGTGAACCATGAACTGGTGTGACAGAACAATGTCTGTGCTACCCCAGATCTTATAACCAAGTAAGAAAAAAAGGCTTTATTAAGGAAGACACTGTTTTTCCAATAGCAGGATATACAGAAGGGGGGAAAAGAGCATGAAATGGTTGTTTTAAAGTGCTACAAAGCTACGGAAAGAGTTACTGGGAATAAAGGACTAGTGTGAGCAGGTGCTGGGTTCATGAAAGAGGATGCATTTCAAGGTATTCCAATTCTCTCTGAATCTTATTTGGTTAACAAATCAGAAATACTGGCACCAAAAGACGGTTCCCTGGAACCTGAGAGCATGTTCTGGAAAATGTCTCTGGAATTAGAGATGTGCCAGTTCTTTTTACTTACAGTTGACAAATAAAACTTTGTGAAACTAGAGCATGGGTGGGGCCAAAAGACAAAACACAGCCAGACAAGCTTAGATAGTTACAACCCTGACTTCTGGTGGGCACCCTGCTGTGTGTCCCTTATGTATGTAAGTTCATCCGAGGAAGAAAGCTTCTTCAAACCCTGGTTGCCACAGTGAAAATGCCTATGCACTTGAGGATTGGAGAACGTCCCCTAATTTTTTGTTGAGAATCTAGGCAGAGGGCTGGTGAGATCACTCAGTGAGTAGAATCGCTTGCTATAAAGATATTATTACAACCTGGATCCTTGGAACCCATGGCGAAAGGAGAGACCAAATTCCCTGAAGATCTTCTAGTTCTTGGTTTGAAAAGGTCTAAACTTCCACCAAGGAGAGTAAAAAGTTATTTACAAGCAGAAGACAAATGTAGCATTGCTTGCTAAGGGTGACTGAGCTGTTTCATGCAGACAGAAGCATGCTGGGAGGCTGGCTGCCACTCATCCTGGTGCTGTTGGTGGCTACATGGGTGCTGGCACTTGGGATCTACCTAACTTGGAAGCAAGGTAAGGGTGGTCACTCTGAGGTCCTCCCCATCTGCATGTATAGAAAAAGAAAGCTAGCTAGATGTGGCAGCATAGACCTGTACTCTCAGCCCTTGGGAGGAAGAAGGGAGATCAGGAGTTCAAGGACATCCTCAATTACTGTTCAAGGCCAGCTTAAGCTACATGAGAACCTGTCTCAAAAAACCATAAAGGACCTGATAGTGTACCCTGTGAGTTGCTTCTTTGTCAGGGCAGAATATTAACTCCATGCTTTACTCTAGGAAAGCTACATGAACTTTCACCTCAGGAATACTTTCATTTAGAAGACCCTGTTGGTGCTATGTTAGCTAGGGCTACAGTAGCTTTGTACAGTCTTGTTGCGTAGCACAGTGTGGGGCTTAACTTTACAGAAACTCTACCACCTGCAGGTAGAAAATGGTATAAACCATAGAGTTGACCCAACTGCTGACATGACATGTAGAGGTCACATCTGTGCCAAAGTAGAAGTTTTAACAGCTTGCTTCAAACCTGGTGCCCTCAAGCCTAAACAGCTGCTATGAGTTTATCTGAAAAACCAGAGCTTGACTATGAAGACTGATTTATCCATGGGGGATGTTAAGGTTTAAGCATCAGTGTTTTGGGTGTTCAAAAGAACTGTCAGGGCTTTTATTCCCCTTGTACAGACAATTCCTGAACCTGACTGGCATTCTCTGGTGGGATCATGCATCAGTGATGGTTTAAGACTACTGTAAAGGCCTGCTATTTGCTATTCAATTAACAAAGTGCATCCCCCCTTCCCCCAGGAAGGAGCACGAAGACTTCCTTTCCTACTACCAACATGCTCCTGCCCCTCATCAAGGTCCTGGTGGTTTATCCATCTGACATATGCTTCCATCACACAGTCTGCCGCTTCACTGACTTTCTTCAAAATCACTGCAGAAGTGAGGTCATCCTTGAAAAATGGCAGAAGAAGAAAATAGCAGAGATGGGTCCAGTGCAGTGGCTTACCACTCAGAAGCAAGCAGCAGACAAAGTGATCTTCCTTCTTTCCAGTGATGTCCACAGTCTTTGTGACAGTGCCTGTGGCCAGAACGAGGGCAGCACCAGGGAGAACTCTCAGGACCTGTTCCCTCTTGCCTTTAACCTTTTTTGTAGTGATTTCAGCACCCAGGCTCATCTGCACAAATACCTGGTGGTCTATCTTGGGGGAGCTGACATCAAGGGTGACTATAATGCTCTTAGTGTCTGCCCCCAGTATCGTCTCATGAAGGATGCCACTGCTTTTCACACAGAACTTCTCAAAGCTACACAAAACATGTCAAGAAAGAAACGGTCACAACCCTGCCCTGGCAGCTGTTCCCTGTTGTAGTCCACCCAGAAGAAGAGAGACCCCGAAGCCCTCCTACTCTACCAATTTCCAGTTACAAAAAGCCGTGTGATGACCCTGAGGCTTACTGTACAGGCTGAGTGTAGGAAGTACTACACTACACAACTTGCTTTAGATCTGGAGTTTGCAGAGTCGGAACTTGAGCAAACATGCCTGAGGCTAGCCACTGGCAGGTTTTATGCATGTAATACAGTTACAGACATTAATGAATGGAAGACTAAATTTACAAAACTCAATCACATTTATACCCAACACCCAGTAATGATTATCACTTCAAACTAAGCATTCTGGCAATGAAGTAATAAGGCATTTCCCAGTCAGGTGTCCAGTCTTGCACTGCCCATGCTCTGTGCTACATGTAGGACTGTTTAGCCCTGTAACATTTTAATATATTAATGAATAACTCATTTGAGAAGCCCTTACTAATTCAGTAGCTTCCTAAGAGAAAAAGCCAATTACACACACAAGCTGGACACATCTCGCCTGACCAGATGACCCAGTATATGTGTACTGTATGACCCACTATACTGTTTGCTATCTGTATAGCCCCTTCCCTTGCCAAACTTCTGGACAGGTAATCTTTATTTTTATCATAGAAGTGCTAGGAACTGAACCCAGGCTATTGTACAGGCTAGACAAATAAATACAAAGACACTTCACTAGCCAGATGTGGCAGTACATAACTTTAATCCCAGCACTCAAGTGACAGAGTCAGGAGGACTTCAAAGTTCAAGGCCAGCCAGAGATACATAGTGAGACTGTCCCAAATAAACCAAAACACATTACCTATAAACTGGTATCTACTTTTGCCCAGTTACCCGTCCACTGTTCTAGTTCCCAGAGTTCATGGTTATCCCACGTTTCCTGTTCAAGTCAAAACTAATTCACTGAACCTCTCTTGAAGTATCTTTTTATAAATGATTACTTAAAAAACCACTAATAGCTGGAGAGATGGCTCAGAGGTTTAGAGCACTGATTGTACCTCCAGAAGACCTGGGTTCAATTCCCAGCACCCAAATAACAGCTCACAACTGTCTGTAACTTCAGTTCCAGGGGCTCTAACACTGTTTTCTAACTGCTAAGGGCACTCTATGTACATTTAAAAAAAAAATCTATCTATCTATCTATCTATCTATCTATCTATCTATCTATCTATCTATCTATCTATATCAGTGTTTTGTTTGCATGCATGTCTGTGTACCACATGCATGCTTGGTGCTTGAGGTCAGAAGAGGGTGGTGGATCACCTGGAACTGCAGTTATGGACAGGTGTGAGCCACCGTGTGGATGCTGGGTATCAAACCAGGGTCTTCTGAAAGAATAAACACTCTTCACTACTGAGCTATTTCTCTATACCCCCTAATGCAAATAAATCTTAGTTTTCTTTTTTTTTTTTTCTTTTGAGACAGGGTTTCTCTGTGGCTTTGGAGGCTGTTCTGGAACTAGCTCTCGTAGACCAGGCTGGTCTCGGAACTCACAGAAATCTGCCTGCCTCTGCCTCCCAAGTGCTGGGATTAAAGGTGTGCGCCACCACTGCCCTAAATCTTAAGTTTTCAAAAACACCAAAACCAAAACAAAACAAAAAACAGAAGCAGTAATAGTACAAAGATCTGTAACATCTTGAGTCTTTTAGTGCTTGACTTTCTTGAAGCAGCTTTTTCTTAATGTAGAAACCATAGAAATATATATATATTAGCATATGTATTTGCTTATTAAGGCTTCATACAGCATAATAAATCTGGTTATTAATGTGATCCAGTTTCAGGTAGTTGACTGTTAAAATGTTTGTAACTAGAGGCTGGGTATAGTGGCACATGCCTTTAATCTCAGGGCTCAGAGGCAGAAAAATCTCTGAGTTCAAGGTCAGGCTGGTCTACATAGTTCCAGAACAGCTTTTAAAAAATGTATTTTTAATTTTGTGTAGGTGTGTGTGTGTCTACATATGGGTATGTACATGTGAGTATAAGTGTCCACTCAGAAGAGGCCAAAGGCATCAAATCCCCTAGAGCTGAAGTTACAGATGATTGTGAGCTGCCTGATGTGTGCTGAGAGCTGAACTCAGGTCTTCTGGAAGAGCAGTGAGCTTTCTAACACTAGCTCTCTCTCCAGCCCCTGCGGCATACCTTTTCAATCACAGAGCTCTGAAGGGATGCAGGCAGAGCTGTGAGTGCCAGGCTAAAGGGTTAAGACTCTTGTCTCAAATAAGTTTGTAATTGCATATTATCCTCAAAGGTCATGTTTTGGGGTTGTGACTTGGCAGAGAATTTGCATATGATGTACAAGGGCCTGGGTTCAGTTTATAGCAATGTAAAAAGCAAGCAATAAAAGAGCCAACATAAAGTCCACATCATGCATTCTAACATGTACCTTATGAATAAAATAAAACCCAAAAGATGCAAACTCCCTGCAGCCAGCTTCATGAGCTTCATACTTTGTGATGGCTGAGGCAGTGTCTAGTTTGGCCAGGTTCAGTTACTTGGCAAGACAGCTGTCAGATACTTTACAAACATGCTGATAACAGAAGACGAATATAGCTTGTGTCACAACCTGGACCAAAAACCAACTTCTCTGAATCAACATCTACCAATTTAAGTGACACTCGTGTGGAGAATGATGACAATAGATACATTATGCTTCTGAAAACATGGGGCTGATTAGAAACTCTATTCCAAAGGCCCAGAAACATAAAATCACATGCTATAAGTTAGGTCAAAAACATACAACATAATTTTCAAACATAAAGTATATATCCAAATAGTACTACTAGGTTAACCCCTTGCTTTATCAGCAGACCCCTCTTGCCCCTAACCTCCATCGGTGGACCCCTCTTGGTCCTAACCTCCATCGGTGGACCCCTCTTGGCCCTAACCAGCAGACACCTCTTGGTCTGAACCACTGAGTTACCTGGTGACTCTTACAGTTCCAGCAGTTCCCCCATCTTAGACTTCTACATTGCATGTGTATCTCCTGGTCTCATCTGTCCCTACTTTTATCTATCAGTCCTCCCCAAGCCAATTCTGGTCAGAGATGGCAGAAGCAGATACCTAACAGCAGGCTTAAGCAATTTTGCTCTGTCTTCCTTGTGTCATAGCCCCAGGTAGTGCTCCCTGATCTGCCCTTGTCTACACCATGTCTTTTCTTTCCCTTGCTGCAGCTCAGAGGCTTCCTAAGGGTCCAGACTACCAGTGGTATGGCTGGCCATATTTAGTTCAACTTTTCTCCACAATGTTACAGATTAAAGTCAGCTGTTCACACTGAACTCCAAAAGCTTTTATTTGTTTCTTCTGGAAAAGGCAAACTAGAGGCTTAAAGATGAAGTTAGTTATGAATTACAGCAGCCACTTGCTTTACTTGTACAATATAGGCTAACTCTAAATTATTATTATCATCATCATCATCATTATTATTTGAGGGGGAGTCTTTGTGTAGTCCTGGCTGTCCTGGAACTTGCTCTGTAGACCAGGCTGGCCTTGAACTTGCAGAGATTGGCTTGCCTCTGCCTCCCGAATGCTGGGATTAAAGGTGTTTTAAATTATTCTTAAATTCTATCTATTTAGCTTTAGGAAAGGAACTTTTCAGGTACTGTATTGTTCCTTTCTCTAAGCCTACAAGAAACAGCAACAAAACCAGCCTTTAAATCCTTGCCTCAGGAAACCTAGCTCTGAACTGGTATTTTGTAAATTCAACTTTGTTAACAAAAAACCCCAAAATTTTGTAATCAAACTTTGTAAAAACAACTTTGTAATCAATAACACACACACACACACACACACACACACAGAGCGAGAGAGAGAGAGAGAGAGAGAGAGAGAGGATGGAGGGGAAACAAAGACAAGAGCTTAATTCCAAGAGGAGAACCCAGACAGACCACTTTAGATCCTAGCCACTGCTAGGGAAAAAGGCAAACACCACAGCTGGTGACCAGTCACACAGTACCCCTTGTGGCAGCACCAGGATAGAAGGCTGTCAGCTAGGTTTCCCATCAGAGAGGGGTGGGGAGGTGGAGCAAAGTGGCAGTTCAAAACCTTGAAGAAAGGTTAAGTGAGTAGGTTTATATTTGTTCGCAATTATAACTTAAAATCAGTGTTGTACTTTAACATAAAATTGAATTCATTTAATTGTAGGAAAATTAAGCTTAAAGTCAATAAATTAAAATACATATATTCTTTACGTATTTATGTCCAGAGATTTGGTTTTGGTTTTCACCACACAAAAGCAGCCCGCTCCCGTAACATTCGAACACCAAAGCGTTGCCATTCTCGCTGATAAATCCACAGTTCCTGAGTAGTGTCTAAGCACGCCAATACTGCTCCTCCTTTCCATGCAATCAGCCGGGGATCCATGTCCTGACAAAAGATAACGCTATTTCAGCAAAGGCAGGAAGACACATGACATCATTTTCTGCAAGTGGGGTTGGAGATCCCTGCTCAGTCAATAGCAAACAAACCAGGTTTTACGTATGTATGAAACAAGAGAAAACTGACTGGGGTGGCCCTCAGTTGTGGAGCATCTGCCTAACATGTACAAAGTTCTGGGTTCAATTCCCAGCACCATCTCTATCAGTACAGAAGATTGAATTGACTAACACACCCATCTCTGCCACAGCTGATGAGAATTTCTCAACCTTTAATACTGAAGATGCCACTCTTCACTATTCCACAAACAAGCTCTGTAGGCAGGCACATGAAGTACCAGTAAAGGAAAGGTACCTCCACGACCCCACCCTCCAAAGAAAACCTATCAGAACACTGCCAGTGTCACAAATACAGACAGGACCTATTTCTAAACTCCCAGCTTTGTGTTTCTTTTCAAATAGTTCAAGCCAAAGAGAGTTCCTTGAAGATCTCCAGTCCAAGGACCACAAACAGCTCCTTACTATGACCAGAGAGAGAGAGAGAGAGAGAGAGAGAGAGAGAGAGAGAGAGAGAGAGAGAAAGAGAAAGGAGCAGTCTGGTCAGGGCAAGAGAGAACCAACCATCTCA